TGGCGTTTCCTTTGCAGGGCCTATGAGCCCTCAGCAGGTTGTTACCTGCAGCAGAGTCATGGCATAACTTGTCCATCATGTGCTGTCAAGAGCCATCCACAGGGATTTTCTCCTGCCCATCTGGCCCTCAGCATCCTCCAAGGCTCTGCAGGAAGCTCCAGGATCCAAGAGCTGTGCCAGCACTTTGCAGTTAGATGTGATCAGGCTGGAAAGTTGTTGAGGAAAAAATGTCCCATGGCAGCCTGCGTGCCTTGATGTGGTCTGTCTGTCCATTCTCTGTGTCTTACCCTGGCTTTGCTCTTGTCTTTCAGGACGGAACCTTGGAGCTCATCTTCGCTGCCTACGCCACCACTGCCAGCGCCAGCACCTCTCTGATCATGCAGCTCCTCAAACACCCCCGGGTCCTGGAGAAGCTGCGGGAGGAGCTGCGCAGCAAAGGCATCCTCCACAACGGCTGCATCTGCGAGGGGTCCCTGCGGCTCGACAACATCAACAGCCTTCACTACTTGGACTGCGTCATCAAGGAGGTGCTTCGCCTCTTCACCCCCATCTCCGGGGGGTACCGGACGGTGCTGCAAACCTTTGAGCTGGACGTGAGTATTGCCATCTCCCCGGGGTGCAACCGTACCATGTCCTCCCCAAAAAACAAGCCTTCTGCACCTTGTTGCAAAGCTTACTTGAGCCTGGCTTAGATGAAACCCCAGACAGGACAAATTAGGTCCTGCTGGTGGTGGGAAGTGGAGTTACTCTGGATTCAGAAGAGGGTGGTGGGATCTGGCCCATGGGAAGGGACTCACTCGAGCTGTCAAAGAGGAGACAGGCACCATGCTTCAACGAGCAAATCATGATAATGTTGGACGCCAAAACTCTAAACTGGGGCGTGACAAGGGAAAGGTTTACTGCAAAGGGCATCTCCAGGCTGCTGGGTGACAGGCGGATGACTCACCTCGACGGCTGGAATTTCTTACCAGCAAAACAAAATCTTGAGACCTGGCTTGTCACTGTAAATCCTACCAACGTCATGATTTGAGTCGGAAGCCTTTCAAGGTGTTCAGGGGATGATAAAGCCGCTCCGTTTCTCATTGCCCAGGCCCTGACAAGTGCGTTGGGCGTGTGGGGCTGAGAGGCGGCGAGGTGTGAGCAAAGCCATGGGATGCTCTGAGGAGGGCTGGCTGGTGTGCAGGGCACAGCATGGGTGAGAGAAAACCTGCTTCCCTTTGCGCCTGTGGGATTCCTCGTAGTTGACTCTTGCCAGTGAGCACAAAATAAGTAAATAGCAATGGCTCGTTCAGTGGGTCCCTGGGATAAAGGCAGAATTACATCCAGAATTCCCATCTCCCAGCCCTTTGTGCTGCACTCTCAGGTTTTCTTTTAATTCTGCATCCCGCACGAGCAGTAAACCCAAAGAATATGGGAAAAAGCAGACAAACTTAAATGTCATTATCATGACCTGCTCCCTCTCTTTTTGCAGTAGGGTTGACTGGCTCTGCTTTTCTCTCCACCCCTTCCTTCTTCTCTGCAGGGTTTCCAAATCCCCAAAGGCTGGAGTGTCATGTACAGCATCCGGGACACCCACGACACTGCCCCCGTCTTCAAGGACGTGGACGTCTTCGATCCCGACCGCTTCGGGCAGGGTCGAAGCGAAGACAAGGACGGCAGGTTCCACTACCTCCCCTTCGGAGGAGGCGTACGGACCTGTCTGGGCAAGCACCTGGCCAAGCTGTTCCTCAAGGCGCT